ATTGTTGTAATATTTCAGGCTAGTGGAAGAAAGATGGACTCACAAGGTACAATGCTGGGTAATTTTGGCACATCGTAGAACTCGCCCATCGAATCCATAATTCCCAAGGCAGATGTCGCAATCATATGATCAATGCCGATCTTCTGAAGGAATATGTTATAAGAACGCTATCATAATAAATACCATTCATCATCTGCAATTTTGCACCCGTCTTTCCTAACCCTCTAGCTTTGCACTGACACATCACCAAACTATCATCCCTCGAAATCCGCCGACGGCCAGATATGCAATTCTCTGTGCTCCCATAGATTGAAGCTTAACCTTCGGCGTTCAAAAAACTGGGAAGGAAACCAGCTGGAAAAGTTTTGCGAGTATTAGAAGCGAAGCGTCTCCTACAAGCTTCCAATAGCAAAAGAATTTTACAACTGTTGTTGGATTAAGTGGGTTGACTATAAGCTTCAGCTTCGTCCTTTCATCATGGTAACTCGTAGAATTCACTCGTAACTTACAGAGAAAATACCGAAGCCGCATGGGTCGATCATCTCGGTAATACCTGCGTCAAAATTTTCATGCTCGAGCATCTGCATCGTGCTATTGTCACCAAGGAGAACTGAAAACGCTTCATTTTATTCCGAAGTTCTTAATTTCTGGAGAACATTGCAGTGCATTTTTTATCTGTAATCAGGACCATTTACATTATCTGAAAAATCGGATTGGGCTAACGCAATATCCGCTCTGTGAGTTGATAGCGCGAAACATGATGAATGGACTTTGTAGCGAAATCACAACGAAATTTTCTCTTTCTAGCTCACATTCGGGAGAGAATTCCAGTGGTGACAGCGGACATTGTTTACTCACTCACTTGACTCAAGGCATCCAGCACAAAAAATAGAAATGAAACAGATACGGTTCTTCTCGTTAGTGATAAGGGACCATTGTCGATAGTTCTGTTTTTGACATATTTGGCGAAATTTTTTGTTAATAGCGTGCCAACGTGATGAATTACTGAATCATTTTCATCGTACTCAAGCTCATTGGAAGAAAATTTGTACCATGCGTGCTTCCTTCGCTGCCGAGGTCGAGGAAGAATCTTGAGCTAGTGGTTGGTAGATGCATTGCTCATCATTCGCTGCTGTTCCATTGAGATGTTGGAGGTAGAGCGTCACCGTGAAACTACGAAACCCTTGCGGTAATGGAGAGTGCTTATGTCTTTTCAAACAACTTAGCTGTTCCTTGCCTTTTACTTTATACCAAAGCCTCATCCTCGTGTAAACTTTGAAACAGAGTGTATTAGGCCAGTTAAATCTAGAAAAGAGGCCTCTGCGTTGCAAGTTATGGCTAACGGGTTTAAACGATGCATACAGCCTTTGCTTTAGCTAGACTTCACTGAAGGAGGATCCAGGACATTATGCCCACCAGAAAGGAGGATGATTAGCGGGACAGGACGCTTCCAGCGACGGAGGATTTGCTATCCCAGCAGGGCCTCATCCACGATGTTCGCTGTGCTGCTCTCTCCAGATGTCCTCGCAAATATACTCTAGCTGCGGACACTAGGTGCTTGTAGGAAACGTGGACCACAGCGTTCACATGAACCATGTCGGCGCATTGAGACTCGCCCCAAATGCAACAAGCCAAACTGGTCTAATTCGTGCTTCTTGACTTTCTCAAATGCGTAACATGGCAAAACGGTCCCATTACTCGGGTTCTACGGCACTTTTCTTAATTTCCTCTTCATCTATCCGAAAACGTTCGCCTCTGGTATACAGGGTGCGCCAAAATTACGGAGACAGCGACTTCGAGTTGCCTAGGATGAGCAAGGTGCAATTCTTTGAAAACAAAAATGCAGTGACGTGCACAGTCCCATTCTGAATCGTCGACATCCATGCAATTTTTGAAATTCCTTGGTTTGTGTTTATACGGGTCCTCAGAAACATCGAGGAACCATCGACTGTGGCACGCAATGTGGCGAGTAGGACTCGTCAAGCTCATTTTAGAGCGGTTTCTTCAACGAATCCCTAGACATAATGTGTTTTATGCAAGCCTCAGCTTCTAGAACGGATCCGACAGCGTACCCTATCGAGCTCAGATCTGAAATGCTGTTCTACCACCGTTTAAGCCGACAAAGTCGAAAAAATCGGTTCTGCATCAATGCTGCACTAGTACTGAACCACCCTTGCCTCGTAAACGGGAGCTCCTACTTGATGGAAGGCCCAGCAACGATTTCTCGTGACATCCAGTGAAAACAGCGCGTCAACTACCTGCAAATTCTATCGCACACAATCCTTAGATTGTTCGTGGTCGCCACAGAAACACGCCCTTCTCATCCAGAATGACTGCATTCAGCTCCTTGTCCCCTGTACCATTTGGAGCATCTATTGATAGTGCTCGGGTATACACCAAAACGATGATAATTGTCGCGTGCCAAAAACCCTCAACGTCGAAGTCCAATGATTTAGGGACGGTGTCAGTATCAGTCAACCGCTGCAGCTACCATAGATTTTGGTGGTTGAACAAGGTAAGCATAAACAATTCTACACCACAGTACCAAAACTAGGACAGAAGAAAACAGCATCTGTGAATATCAGTTCAAATTGTTTGCTCATGCGTTGTCTCCGTAATTTTGGCGCACCCTGTAAAAGTGCGCTTGGCTTTGGCCGCTTCCGAATAATTTG